AGCAGAATCTTAGTATTTTCAGTATGATCAAATACAACATATGTATTTAAGACCTCTAGGACACAAATTGAGCCTCTCCTTATCTGGAATAATTGAAGATTGCTGATGCAACAGAGCAGTAATAGAAAAGGTAAGATAAAGAGAACCATTTAGACTACAATCATGTAACAGAAAGTATTAACATACCCCAAAAATGCTGTTAGTAAATTTTGTTTTCTTCTTTACCTCAGGTAAGCAGTATCAAATATTTAAGTACCAACTAATGCTCCCACAACCCTAGAAGAAGAATGCTGAAACACAGTAAAGTTTATCAGCAAACAGACAAGACTTTACACACATATAACTTCACATATGTGCTAGTAACAACTCCAGGCAGTCTCACATGGAAAACAGTGACTTAGACTCAGCACAAATTGTGACATGCTGCAGGGATGGCAACTTTTCAAGGGCAAATCAAATTATAAGCTTCTTTCTGAAGCTAGTGACTAAACATGGCCATAAAAAACTCAGCAGGGGCAGGATGTGCTGCCTCTGGCAGCCTGCTGTTTCTCAGAATTTTCTTATCATTTGCAGTTTGCATGCATACAAGATTGATCCTACAGTCCTTTGAGAGGTTCCAAATTTAGTTGGAATGGGGAGGCAGAAGTCACTGCCTTTCACAAAATGCTACAGCGTGTGCCATTCCAAATCTCCTTGTATGCTCTTTGACAATCACACACTTGATTGTTGACCTTAATAAAGGTAACCAACCTAGCTGTGTGCAAAGCTGACTTGAGATAAGCAGCACACATTAATGAAAGAATTCCAACAGTTTAAGGCCATATTAGCGTGGCAAACTGCACTCTCTGAGAGAATAAAGACATAGTAGACAACACTGCAAGGTCTGATCAAGGTTACAAACTCCATACCATTGTGTCACTTGAATTGCACTACTGAAGAAGAAAAGCAGCCCTTATAGTATCATTGCAGTGTGCAGTGCAGTGTGTACATTTTTGACCTGGCTGTGTTGGTTAGGACACCAGAAAAAACACTTTTATTGAATTCAACATAAATCCCCATTCTGAGATACACTGGTAGAACAAAAGCTCTTACCCCCTTCCCTTATTTTTTTTCCCCTCTTGATACAAGCTGATTAGCTAATTTAATTAAAAAAAAAAAAATCTAGCTTTTCCCAGCACAAGCTATATCTGGTCTAGGATATTTTCAATGTAGCTTCACTGGTGGAGATAGAACTAAAACCTGGTAGCTATAAAAAATTTTTTTACAAATTGTGTTCACTTTGCTATAATAATCTTTGTAAAGTAGAGTTTTATACTCAGCGCTAAGGACTTACTCCAATATATATTAGTTGCACATTTCTAAACAGTAGGTCAGCAAATGAAGAGAATGAAAATAACTTAATCATAAATCACTTATTGAAGCTGTATGAAAGATTACATCTGAGGTTTTACTACATTAAATATAGAAAGTTTTATTATTAATATGCTAACCACTTAATGTAAGCTGTAAGAACAGATAAGTGGCAGTGAAAATGGTGACAAAAAAACTGGGTCAAACAAAGTTTTAAAAAAACCCCAATCTGAAAATTTATTGTCAGAATAAACAATTACATTAAAACACAGTAATCAAACATAAGCCACTACAAAATAAAACAGACACTATCCATACAACTCACAAAACCAAAACATGTTATCTGACCCTGCAGGACCTTTGATTCTGCAGACTTGTACACAGGCTGAATTTCATTCACTCTGAGCAGAAGTTAGGAGTGCCAATAACCAACAGGAGAAGGATTAAACCTACTCCAGCAGGGAGCAAGGACAGAAGTTAAATATTTAAGAAACTAGGTGCCAAAAATATCAGTCTTTTTATATCTATTTTAAAATAACCAAAAGCTTTAGATGAAAAAAGTGATAAATACTGAATTTACAGAACTTTAGCTTTGACATGTTGTGTGCTAGCTTCAACAGAAATTGCCTAAAAGAAGGTGTAGCTGAAAAATGTCTGAATAATTTGACAGAGACCAGTTTTATTGAGAATAACAGAAAATCTAAACGGAGTTAGCAACTTCAACTACTTAACCTGAACAAACAACAAGTATTTACAAGGAAACTTTGTTTCTGCACAAAGTTACTACTGGTTGTAAGATCACACTTCCTACAAGAATGAGAATTAGCCAGCGGCTCAAATTATGCTTACACCAGAGTACCACACACAGGTAACACTGGTCTGAATGACAGCACTTTTAAAACATAAAGCGATGCTGCTGAAAAAGTCACATAACTACACATAAAATCTTATGTTGGCTATTTATTTTATGATGGCATGGAGATACACTGTTAGCTTGACTTTGTCAAGTATTGTAAATAATTACCACCTATTTTGCAGCAATTCAACAGTAAAGACTATATTACCAAGGAAAACTGGGAAGCATTGGAATCTCACTGCATTCTAAAGAGCAAATGTTAGGCCTAGTTGACGAGATAAAAGTATAATCATACCCACTACCTATTCCTTTATTACAACAATGATAAAGAAAATGATGCTGTTTAATTTCAAATACTTGCCCTAATCTATAATGTTTCACATACGTATGCTGCAAACATTCCCACTACATAGCACACCTCAGCAGGAACAAACAGTTCAATACTGTTTGCCAGGCACAATCTCAAGAAAGGCTGCTTGAGATCAATTACAATGAAAAGGAATAATAACAGACAGTAAGGTTATCCTCTATTAATTAGAATGTGAAAAGCATCTCCATTTAACAGGATTCCACAAGCTCTGAACTGAAAGAAGACGGCTTCAAAACATAAAATAAAGGCGACACACTTGTTTGAACACACTGTTTTGCTTTTGACTATTTTCTATTTCTATTAACAAGAAGCTACAAGTAGCATCTAAACTGCTTAAGAGACTCGCAGCATGCCTCTTTGGCTCTGTCACTCTATTCCTCATTGCCTTCACAATCCAGTTCCACATTCAGCTTACCAGCCTTAATATTATGCTCTGCATGGTCAGTTCTTCGGTAGCTTTGAAAAGCTCAATAAATTAATTGCAGCAATATGTAATACAAGACATTTGGAGAACAAGCATCTCCAACAACCATTTTACTGGAAAACTGAAAAGTTCAAATTGAATAAACTACTAAACATTTGCATAGTCCAGCAATTTACTGTCTCCAAAAACAAATCAGTTAAATAAGCCTCAGACTTTTGGAATTCCCCTCAAGAATTATTAAAAGTGTACTTGTAGGACTGTCCATATGTTACATGGAGGCTACTCCAAGAGAACACAACAGCACCAGAACCAGATCACTTCACTCAACACCCTGTAAAAGTGATTACTTCCCACAATTAATACTTTTTATGCATACCTACATACACATCTACATAAGCAAGAGTTCCGTGTATATGCGAAATTGGTCTCAATGACAGGACTTTTTAAACATAATGCAATGCCTCTGAAAAATGTCACATAACTAAACATAAAAACAACAAGCAGACATGTTTCCAGTAGGATTTCTAGTGGAGTAATGGATGCTTCCCTTGCTAGGAGCTGTATATAGAAAATTAAAGTTTTAACATGTGCTGTACAAGGAACCAGGATTAATACGCTAAACTATTTAGAAAAATGCTTATTTAATAAAAATTGAGTTTTCTGAGAAGATGCAGCTTAGAAATTCTCCACAATTAAGACTGCAACGTTAAAAAAAAATTCTTTGTTCTTGACTCAAGAATAAAGGTTGCTCTCAAGAATAAAGGTTGCTATTTATTGGCCTGTAGTTCAGCCTATTCAATCACTCTTAAGAGATAAGATATCACAGCATACAAACTGCTAAACTTCCAAAAATTGTTAGATATAAGTAGATGAATGGTACTGGGTACTGCAAGCATATACTGACCTCTTCCCCCATCCCACCTAAACCCTCTGGCCTACAAAACATTTAGGTCTTCCAGCCTTCAAATAATAAACCAAGTCACAGTAACTTCTTATCTTAAGGAATACAGGAAAAAGCTCACTTCCTCTGTGAAAAGGATAAAGTTGGGAAACATAGCTGTGTTTTGGAACTTGCAACAATTTTGTAAATAATAACCATCTGTCCTTGAACATATCCTTCTGACTGTGCACTGATGCTCCAAGGGAAAATACACTTTAGCACAGTTTGGACAGAGTAAGAGGAAATGTGTGTCCAAAGACACAGTCTGGACAGAGTAAGAGGAAATCATTCTGTGCAATGCGTTTCAGACAAAGTATCAGTTATAAATGCACTACTTTTGCGAAATATTCTTTTTTTAGAAGGAAAAAAGGTGCATGAGTGTCTAACAGCACCTGACGTGCAGCCCGGGCATCGTGAAAGGAAGAAAGTTACCTTTCACCTGAAAGTTACCAGCAAAGCGCAAGGCTCAGCACAGGCCGTGTGCTTGTTCAAACGACCCGGTTCCAGGGCTGTCAAGCGAACAGGGGAAGCGCTCGGTGCCGAGGCAAACCCTGCCTTCTCCTGCTGCGGCGAATGGCGGAGTTCCCGCCGGTGGGGTGCGGCGGGCTCGGTGCAGGTGATGCGCTGCCGATGGCCCAGCGGGCGGAAAGCATTACCTGCCGGACCACCGGGGCCGTAACGGGTCCTGCAGGACGGGGTCTGACCATTGCGGACCCGACAGGCCGCCGACAGCGCCCCCGGGCTGCGGCTCCCACCGGCGGCCAACCTGCCTGTCAGCGGGAGCGGGGATGCTACTGCCGCCGCCGCTGCTGCCTTACCTGAGCCAGGACTGTCGGAGCACACGGCCGCAGGCTGTACACGCCAGGCAGCTCCCCGAGCAGGAGGACGGCCCGCAGGCGGGCGGGCGGCGCTGGCCCCGGGTTTCCGGCATCCGGCCCCGGCGGGGCGCGGGCGCCCGGGCCAGCGCGTCTCCACGCCGCCGCCCCGGAAACGCGGGCGCGCCGCCGCATGCGCCATGGCCCGAGGCCGGGGGCGGCTCCGGCGGTCCGTCCCGCGCGGTGGCCTGTCCCCGCTCCGCTGGCGGGGCGACGCCGCCGCACCGCCGGAGGGGACGGAGCTGGCAGAGAGGTAACCTGGAAGGAGGTTATAGCCAGCTGGGGGTCAGCCTCTTCCCCCAGGCAGCTGGCGACAGGACGAGAGTACATATCTTAAGCTAAGCCAGGGGACCTTTAGGTTGGACAAGAGCAGGGATTTCTTCGCGGAAGGGGTGATTAGACATTGGATTGGGCTGCCCAGGAAGGTGGTGGTCACCATCCCTGGAGGTGGTTGAGGAAAGACTGGACGCGGCACTCAATGCCGAGGTCTAGCTGACAAGGTAGTGTCCGGTTGCAGGATGGACTCGATGATCCCAGAGGTCTTTTCCAGCCTAAAGGATTCCGTGATCCTGTAACGCAGGCGGAGGTGCGCAGCAGTGACCGGCGCCATAAGGCCGCCGTCCTGCCCTGGAGTCGCGCCCTCCCCTCAGCCCCGAGTCCCCCGGGGCCGAGGGGAGGCCGCAGGGCCCCGTTCCCGGCCTTTCCCTGGAAACACCTCGAACGGAGGGGGGCTGCCGGCCCAGGGCCCTTCCCTGCGGGCTGTGGCTGCCCCTGGCCTTCCCCTGGGAAGGGGAGAGGGCCTGGCGGGTTGCTGGTGGAGGGGGGAAGACGGTCAGGGCAGGGCCAGGCGTTTGTCTGTGCCAGGGGAGGGAGCGCCGCAGGCCTCCCTGTGCGGTGGGGAGTGAAAAGCGACGGCGCTTGCAGGGGCCCTCCGGCCCCAGGGTGAACCACACCCTGTGTCTCTGGCTGAGCTCACCTTATTCCCTGATGTGACTCTTGTCCCAGAGCTTTAAGCCGCTGCTAAGTACATGAAGAGCAACGGTTCGTGCCTGGGGTTCGAAACCCTGCGGGAAGCCCGGTGTACTGAGAGAGGCACCTTAGGTGAGCTTCCACTGGCAGAGCTGACCTTGTGCTGTGTGCTCTGCACTTTGGGTTTTCTAGGTGTTGGAAATGTCACCTATGGGTGTGTTGGGTGTGCTGTATGATCCAGACGAGAAAAACCAAAAGCATGAACAAGTTTAGAATATCCTTTTCAAGGGCAGAGTAGAGTTTCTCATGAAATACAGATAACAGAAGATGCTGTTTACAGAAACTGTCATGGCAGAGGTGTTCACTGAAAAGCATTACAGAACAATTTGATTGGCAGCAATCACTTGTGTCAAAAGAGAGCTATTCACTGTGCATGCTTCAGAGTGCTTTTTTCTCCCACTGCTATAGTTTGAACAAAGCTCTCTAGGTCTTGTTTAGATTGAGTCAGTTGGTCACACTCAAACATTAGTTAGTTGATCTTGTTCAGAAATTGGGCCATCCTGGAATTAACGCTAAGGTCATATGAAATAAAGCAGAGAGGAAGCTAAACAACATTTGTTTGTTGGCAGTACAAGTATCTATGTTTTCAGACCAGTTCATCTAGTGACTCCATGTGAATGTGGAAAAAGACTGGTGAGAGAATGGCTGCACGCAATTTCCTATTACTTCGCTATTTGGAAGAAGGCCTTCGGAAAGTACTCAATCTGTTTTAGCAAACTGTATCTTTTGCCTCTTTCTGATATGACAGGCAGTACTGTGTTGTCAGCATTACAAATGCTGTGGTACAGGCTCTGAAACATGGAAATCCTTTTTTGCCCGTTATCCACTGATGAAAGGTGATAATCCATCAGTGCCACTAAAGTAATTTTGGAGTCATGAATTCAGTTTCATAGGTGGTAATTTCAGTCATTTAACTAATGGCATCTGAGAATTTATCCAGTCTTCCATTAGCATGTGTTGTCTGCTGAGTGTCATTCTGTGAAGTGTTTGAGACATCTTCAGGAATCACAGGACCTGAGTCCTTAGTAGGATACAAATCCTTCAAAAGCACCTTCTTTGGGGAACACAAATGACTGCTCATTGCAAAATCACCCAAAAGTGCAACATGTAGGGCAAATGGTTTCCATCTTCACATACTAATGTACATTGCAAAATCTTTTGCCTTTTCCCTGAAACCTAGTTAACTCATATGGGAAAAGTTTTTTTAAACCCCAGATACTGCAAAACATAGGCGCAAAATCCCTCTGTCATTATACACAAACACATACAGCAAAATCTTGCTTCTGCAGAGATGCAAAACTTGCAGCAAATTCCTATTGCCTGTTTCTAATTCCCTCTAGACAGACAAAATATTTTCCATCCCAATCTTATAGTTTGACACAGAATATTTGTACAAACATATTAAAAGTACTTTATTTTCTGTGTCAGCCAATAACCAAGCACTTTATGAATGCTGGCAAAATCCTAGAAACATTGTAAAGGATGTCAGAGTGATTTGATTTCTGAATGCCAGATCACTTGATGTCGAACACACTGTCACAACACAGGTAAACAGGTTTAGTTCATTACTCTGCCAGGCATTTTCAGTTTTTCTTTAAGTAAGAATAAATAAGTAGGTAATTTGTCTTTCCTCAGATGACATTCCTGACTGGAACAACTGCAGTGTGAATGGAGAGTTATCCTCATATGACTGCAAGCACGCAATGCTGATGTGGAAGTTAAGTGTCCTCAGCCACCCCTTCTCTCCCTGCAGTGAAGTCCCCCTGTGGGTGCAGTGTCCAGGAGTACAGAGCTATGGCTGCACTGATGTTGCTCACAGTTGTGTTGCTGTAACCAGGCTGGTACAGTTGTGAGTGCTAGAACATATGCCTAAATAGCTAGAAAACTCTTGGCTAGGAAGAGAAAGTCCTGTTTCACCCCTTGCATTATCACTGCAGGGTAGTTGATGACAGAAAGCAAAGCTTGCTGTGGTCTATAGAAATGACACTGACAGTCTGGTAAATATGAGTTTCATCAGACAAATTTAATCAGCTACTATGCCCTGCAGCACTAAAATGTTAGCTCCCTTTCCCATCCTGCTCAGTTTGCTCTTCATTGGCTCTTGTAAGCAGAAATCATTACATTTAGCAAGACATACCTGCTTTTTTTAAAAAGTGCTTTCTACATGTTGACTTCAGATTTTGTACTAGAGGTGTTTGCATTGCTGAAATATTGAAAAAGCAAATGAAAAGACTAAGAAAATATTTTCTGAAATGTTTAAAATGTAATTTTTCCTTAAGAGTCAATGTTCCACTGAATAGTTATGTAACAATATTTAAATGCAGTCTTTTCTTGTTAGGCATAAGGAATATAATGTGAAGCTACATCAAAAGACGAAAACATACTACCATGAAACAAACCCTTGTGTGTCCTGTGATTCTTAGGAAATCATGTTTGGCTGAAATTTAATTTAAGTTTTGTTACAAAGTCAAAAGCAAAAAATTAAAAGTGCGAAGTAGACATACATCTCCTCATGCCTGAAGGTCCACTTCCACATCTCAGTGTCTTTTAATAGTGTTAGACCAAGTTCCAGCAGGGATTCACTCTCTGCTAGATCTCCAATCCTCTCAAGAGCATTAGGCTTAGTGCCAGCATTCATTTACTCTTGTAACAGCTTAAATTAACTCCTGTTACATTCTATCTAAACCCTTTCTTACAGAGTAAGAGTTGAGAGCTGGATTCAGTCACCTAGTCTGAGGGCCACCCATCATGCCCGTCCATCTTTCAGGATTTCAAGTGCTGCATAAGCTGGACCGAGGAAGGCGATGATCAGCCATTGGTAAATTGAAGGAGGGGCTGGCAAGCCATCTTTTGTATACATGTCCCTATTTCCTGAGAAAGAGCGTGGGGGTGGTCTGACTTATTTACCATAAGTACATATGACAGTAAGCTCCAACAAAATGTAAGATTTGAGTAGGCTAGGCAGTGTGCTAACAGTATTTTGATACTTTCCTGGAGGAGCTGAACAGGCAAGCTAATTGAAAGACGGGAAATATCACTGCTTGGTTTTGCAGGTCAAGAACTGGCCTGTAGATTATATTTTGCCCAAACTCAGATAGAAGACTGAAACAAAATGTCTCACAAAGCCAGGCCTTCTTTAACCCCTTCAAAATTACATTGGTCCTCTTAAGAATATCACTTATATTTTACTTTAACGGACATGAGAGCAATCTGTCTGACTGTGATTACAAGGCAAACACTCTGAAACAGGTAAGGATATAAGCATAAGGAAGACAAGTTTTCCTAAAACTGATAACACAAAATAGGCACACTTAGAAAAGTACAGGGTAATTGGTTAGAACTGAACAGTCATTAAAGTTGGCCAGCTGATACCTTGATCTCTATCCAGAGTCTCTAAAGTCCTGTACCAAGGTCTTCATGATGAAGGCTGAGAGTTGGCTTCAGGGACTTCCGAAGCTCTTTTGTATTCTAGAAAGACTATTATTGGTAGAATATTTAGAACCTTTAAAGGTCATCTAATCCCCACCCTCCCTCCAATGAGCAGGAACATATTCAGCTAGGTCAGGTTACTCAGAGCCCTTTTCAACCTTACCTTGAGTATTTGCATAATTTTTACCTATCCCTCTCCACAAGAAAAAAAACCCAAACAAACAACAAATAGAGGAGAGATCAGTTTCAAGGAAGCTGAAATACCTTTTTCTGATGAATAAGTTTTAAGATGACAATGTGCTGTTAGTTTACAGAAAGTCCTGTTGTTTTGTATGCTTTCGAGATGATGGAAATGGAACTAATTATCAGACAGTCAACATTCATCCACTAGTAAAACTGAAAATAAATGTGAACATTTTGTGGGTAGATAACACTGTTCAGTCATAAATAAGAGTTCACAGCCATCTTTGCATTTAGGAGTACACTATAAATATAGCTTATCTTCAAATATTTTCAACTTGCTGGAGTTACTTGAAAGCTTATCATGATAGAGTCCATTTAAAAGGAAAAGAATTAAAATTTATCTAAGATATGTGTCCCCAAATACCTCTCATAGCATTCATTTATATTGACCTTTCCAACATACTGTCTTCCCACACTCTTTGTATATAGCTAGCTGAAAAAACACCTTGCTGGCATTTGTAAAAAGTTCCCTAAAACTTCAGAATTACTTTTTTTCAGTCAAGTTTAAAAATCAGAGAAAAAAAGTTAAAAGCAAAATTCTTACTTTAAAAAAAAATAAATGTGAGAATGGAAAAATACCAGTAATGTAATTGGGAGGATTTTAAAATACAGTTTCTAAGTTGTCAGCGACCTTTTTGTGATAAATATTTGATTCATCAAAGAAATGTTACACAGACTTTTAAAACACTGCTTTTATGAATAAATGCAGGTCAAGAAATAAAATAAAAAATGCAGGTCAAAACTGATATTGTCTTGTGAAAGACTATGCATTTTTTTTAATTTGAAAAATATATTTGCTATGACTTTCCACGTAAGGCTGTAGGTCTCAGTTTTGTGACAAGTTACATATATTATGCCTAATTTTAAACACTTTGGAAAGTTTTGTGGTCTGAAGCAAGACTACTTTGACTGCATAAAGTTAGCTGTATACATAAATCTTTGAAGAGTGGGGACTTTCTTGCCATTAGATAAGAACTGTTGTTCAACTTCTGTTTTATCTTTTAAAGATAACATCCCATGGCAATTTTGCAACAATAATAGAAGTTCCCTGAAAATACTTTCAGTAATGGAATTACGTTATGTATTTTAACTGTTAGATTTTTCTCCTTTTTCCAGCTGAATAAGTTATACTTCATTTTTCTTCCCTTCCAAACATTCTTCTGTGGTGTTGCTAGTGCTGATTAAAAAGGTAGACCTATATCTAAGAGAAATCCTATAACTTTGACTTTTTACCCATCTTTTTATATACATACCTATGTGTACAAATTTATATATGTATTTTGCCTATAATATATTAATCATAGGTTTTCCTGAAATCATATGTAAATATAAAATTTTATTGCAGGGACTTTACTGTATCTCAGGGTGCGTTTCTTCTCTTTTCTTTCATTATCTGAAATCAGTGTGAGCATTGCAATCAATTTTAATTATACCAGTATTTCACCCTGAGTTTTATAGGAAGAGCTGGCAGCAACAGCTATAGTTAAGGTTGCTTAAGAGTTTCCACTGTATAGATTCTGTACTTAAAAAAGAGAGAGGGATAGAAATTGTACATAAGAGTACAATAAAACATGTTAAGATTAGCAAAGTTAATTTTATCTGTGTTACTTGAAAAACTGGAAGGATTTATTAGGGACTCTGACTTTATATTTTTAAATGCAATGTGACTGAGACTGATATAATTTTAAATAATTATTGTTATGAAGTTCAAAAAATACTATAAAGATGGCAAAGACATTACTTCACAGTATTACTTAAGAAACAATTATAGAATTATCAGTATTTTAACCTGTAAAATATTTTTAAAATATATGTTTTCTGGAAATGTTGAAGTAGAAAATGTATCATATACCTTCTTGTTTCTTTTCCCAGACCACTCTCTAAAGCTACTATTAATAACACGTTGCATTACTACTGTGATTTATTAATGCAAGTTACCTTAATTATAACATCTTTAATACTGCTGAAGATGGTGAATTATATATAATCATTTCTGTGAAAAAGAAAGGAATTATAAAACTCTAAATTACTGTTTTCTGTAATGTATTCCATTATTTCAAGTAGTGTTTTCTCCTTTTGCTCACAATACTATTTATGAGCTTTGGTTGCACCTACTTTTGTGTAAGCAGGGGAAGGCATGATTATTTTTCAAATATGTATGTTTAGTTGTTTAGTAACTAAACTTAGTATAGGGTCCAATCTAAGCTAATAGAACGAGTGTGTGGTAGACACATACCTTTACTATAAAAGATTCTGTCATCCTTTCCTAAAAGATTTAAAAGTCCTAATACAAAGTTTGTTGTAGTCAGCAGAATCTCTTTCCATAGGTTTCTGCACTTGGCAGTTGCAGAGCTGAAAAACAGCTTTGCTATCTGTGTAAATATTGTGGGCAGTCTTGGTATATTTGCTAGTGAGGAATTCCTCAGTCTGTAGCTACATCAAACGCGACTGTTGGATCCACTCACAAAGGCTTAGTAATAGTGGCATTAATAAAATCTCTGAAGGAACTATGGACAAAGTTGCTCTTTGGGGAATGGTCCCCACTTGGCACCATTCAGGCAGGAGCTGTTGGCTGAGTACACCCAGAGAGGATTTCTAGTCCATTACAGAACCCTTTTCTAAAGAAGGGAAGTATCTTGAAGGAACTTGAGGGAGTTGGTACTCTGCAATATTTGAATTGCATGTGCCCAAGGAGGCATAAGCTATACAAAGAGCAAAAGGCTGAGATAGACAGACTGTCTCATGTTCACAAGGGTTAGGAAGTCTCCTGTTCACGTGACATTTACAGTGCTTATGGGTCTCATGTTCCCACAGCTTAGGTGTAGATTCTCTGTATCTGGTCTGTAACAGAGAGATTAAGTTGGAGCAGCCCAGAGCACAGCTAGAACACCTGCATGATGGGGGTTCTGGTCTCTGAGCTCTCGTTTATGTAGCACAAAAGATGTACCCCTACAGTATTAGTAGGATCCACAGCAAAACAGCTGTAACTTAATTTCTGAGGAAAGGAGACTGGTGAGATTAAACCATGTGCGAAGGAGGTTTTCACTGATAGGCAGGAGTATGTAAGACATGGCTAAGATTCATCCTACTAAAAATAAATGCGTACATACAGGTTCTGCACCTGAATTTATCACCTTACGCTCTCACTAATGGGGGGAAGTGTGCATCTCTGCATCATGATTTGTCTCATTCCGAGATGGGTGTTTAAAGTGGCTCAGTTGAGTCTCAACCAAAGAAATATCCATATCACTCTTTCTGGCTTTAAGGGGAACTGAGATAATTTTTATTCAGCTGTAAATATCTGTAAACTGCTTTTCTTTTCTGCTTATGGTTGCTGCAGAGATTCTTGAAAAGGAGCTCTTGCAGATCTGGATATCAAACTTGCTGGGCACATATGCTGTCAGAGTTGGCAACAAAAGAGATAGTCAGACACAGTTTGATTATGGGTTGCCACCCTGATGACAGATGAAAGCAGGGATGTGTTACTTCAAGATGCAGCTGAGGGAAGAATGTCTTATTGCTGTTGCATGGGAAAAGTTGTGCTATCCTCCCTCCCTGTGTACTAACTTGTTACTAGGCCTATGAACATCTGTATTTGGAAGCACTGGAATTTACGTCTTTTTTATGTCTTGACTTGGATGAAAAATATGTATATCTTCTGTCAGTTCAGACATTACTCCATCGTCTGCTGCAGAGAGAGCTTGGAGAGAGCTCACAAAGTTAAATGATCCAGTGTTCTGGAGGATACCTGCCTACTTGCCTGTGGTAGTTGAAGGCACTTAAGAGTGCTTGCCTTACCGTGCTAAGTTGCCCCTAAGATTAGCTGGGTGGGGCTCTGTGAGAAGGGAGAGGGTGACTGATGACTATTGTTCTCCACAGCAGCAAGATAAACTGCCATTTTGACTCAGAGGATCTGAGGTCAGTCAGAAGCCTTGAGAAGCTCCAGGAAGCTGGCACCAGTGAAGAGCTGAGGACCAGCAGAGTCTGTAGGTAATGTGCTGGAAACCAGGGACTATCCATGGCATGATCTTACCCCAAATCTACCCATGACAGCGATCTGTTACACCTGATAACATCTCAGCACCCAAAACAGCCCACTGCTATTACCAGGCCTGGATTGACAAAGTGGAAGGCAAGCTTGAGGAATAAGTATTGCATTATTATATTGAATAAATGGTAGGCTAGCAGTTGTTGTTACAGATTAAGTAGGGTCTAAATGACTTAACACCCATGGAATCTCTGCCTGTTGTCTTCTTCTCCTCTTAGTCTACTCTCCACCTTAATCTCTGTTTTTATAACCTCTATTTTATTGTAAGTAATATTGTGTGTATTCAGCAACTAGGTTTACGTGCTGATCACCATAAACTCAACTGCCACTGGTAGTTGGGGAGGTACCAGAATCCCTCCAGGGAGAGCCACAGGAGACTCTGCTGCTCTGAAAGGTTAGGGTACCTCATCAGGAACTAGGTAGTACGGCATCTGTGGAGGGTCACTAGAGGTTGATTACCTTGTTTTTTGTACCATGGACTGCATTAGCCTGAAATGACTTGTCTAAGATCTTAAAACAAGGCAGTGACAGAGCTGGAAATAATCTCTGAAGGTAAATGGTATTTGTAGCATATTTTTTACCATTATTGCTTTTTTGGGTGGTTTCTGGTTGATTACTGCAAATTAAAAAAATAAAATAAAATTTCTGCATTACTGAACTTTTGGCATTCACATTTGATTTTAAATCCAAGGATGTCTGTGTCTGTCTTATGTCACTACTGATCCACTTTCTTAAATCCACCTTACATGTCCTACAAAAATGGGTTTAGACCATAAAATCATCTGTCCTGCCTTCTCCTGTGCATCCCGGAGTTACAATACTAATACTGTACAAAACACAACCCTATTGTCATAGAGGTAATAACATTAGGTGTTAGGGTTGTGAATACAAAGTGAGAGTTTTTACTGTTTTCTAGCAAATCAGAGGAATGGTGAGATGTTTACTCACAAAAGGTATCTTGCCTGGTTTCTCCATACTTGATACTACACTGGCAGTTATGAAACTAGAAATTACTGCTGTGTTTTTACACAAAAGGAGAAATTCTGCAAGAGAAAATTTAATGCAATTTGGACCACTTTGTAGTCTTCAGAATCTGCCACATTTTCCCTGCCACCCAAATTATTTAAATTATAAGTAGTTTTGCAAGGCTGTTAGTATTATTTTCTCAGCTCACCCAAAGTTTTTGCAAGACTTATTATCTATGATGAATCACAACATCTTTTATTCATATAGTTATAAGTGCATTAAATCTGTCAGGTATAATTTGCCGCTTTTTCTTCTTTTGATTCAGCACGCTTTCTGAAAAGAAGCTAATTTAATAACTAGAGAATCTAAGTTTTATAATCAAATTTGTTATATTACCAGACCTGAATTTCAGAGGGGATAACATTAAAAATCTGCTTGAAAAGAGCAGAATTGCCAGTGGGCATTGAATTAGCAGCCTGAAAATTATCTAATAATGTTGTGATCAAGAGTGTTATGATGATGAGAGAAGAAAGAAGAAGAATTCCGTTTGTCTTTATCTGTAGCTTTTACATATTGTGCAAACTGAAACGAAGGTTAGAACCTCAGCCCAAAGCTTCAATTCAGGGGAAAGAGTGTTCTGGTTTTAGATTTTTTAGTGATTTTCAGTGTGCCTATATAATGTGGTGCTGCAACTCTGCCTAGAAATCTCTGAATTACTGCTGGAGAAGTAGATGCTGCTGTTTATGTGCATATACGAGTGCTTGGCACTGTACACTGGGTACCACATGTAATCCCATGAGTTCTGCATCCAACAAATTTCTGCTGAATTCTGGATGAGGTTTGTGCTTGGAAGGCTTCTGGATCAAGGTTTCCTGTCAGAAAGTGCTCTATAAAAGGCCTGCTCAAAACGAACAGAACAAAAACCCAACAAAAGCAAGTCTTTTCCTGTTGCTCACGTTGGTCTCCTCTGACTCTTGGTCCCCCTAACCCTCTTAACCAAGTTTGTGGCACAGATTGTATTTTATTTACAGATATAGGTTAAGACAGCCTGTTATTTTGTGATCACATTAGTTTCATTTGTACTGTGGAGATTTTTAATTCCCAAAGGTGCTGCCAGTTTTTGGGTACACAATTTAAGTTTAAGCAGAGTTTTTGTTTTTCCCAAGGACTTCTACAGACTTTCAGATATTTAAAATATGAAATTGTGGTTCTCTTTGATTCATCGTCTGTTAAAGAATGTTGGCTGTACTAAAACTGGCAATGAGGCTAAACAAGAATAAAAAAAAGTATTCCAGAGAACCAAAACATGGTAGAGTATTTGTCTTCTGAAGGTATGTTGCCACTTAGCAAACACTGAGAATAATGACCACACAAATACAAACAAAGAAAATTCAAAAAATCTCTGAAATTTTGCTTAATATTGAAAAGCTTAATTGAAGGAAGATCTCGTGTTTTGAACATTTCTATTGAGCTTTTTGCGCAAAAGAGATTGTATGGATGTGACACATCATTGACAGGACACAGTAAGTCAACTGTTCATCTGGCTCTGCTGTAGCTCCAGACTTGCACAGCTGAGAATGTTCCCATCTGGAGGGGAAGGATGATATATTAACTCCATGCATTTCAGAAGATGTGTGTCCTACAATGCAGAGGCCTTGATGCTGAAGGTAGTTTTGACAAAAAATTTGTGGCACAGGGGCCATAGCTGATACAAAGATACAGGGTTTAGCTCTAGAATTCCATATTCTTTTAGTCTCTGTTTTACACATATAGTTCTTTGAGAAATCTCATAGTTTAAGGATGACAAATTTCTTAAAAAAGTCGAAGAGGATCAGATTGTTAGACAAGAACACCTGAATGAACTTTTCATGGAAGGGTAGGAACAAGACCAAATGTCGTAATACCCAGTGCAAGGTCACTAGGTATTAATATTATTAAGGGCAAAATGCTAGAAATCTGCACCAAATGCTCAATGATTCAGAGCTTGAGGACTCCGTACATGAATATTTCTTGCTTCTGTCATCAAACAGCCACACCAAAGCATGACTAAGATGAAAGGCAAGGCTGCAGTGGAATTTGAAGCTGAGATGGCTCCATACTGAGAGCAGAACTGGAGATGAGATCAAAGATGATTGAATTGAGTTGATTGCACCTTCCTGAAAAGGTAAAGAAGCAGGAAAGTGTAAGAACCTTTCAATAATTATAAGCAATTAGAGGGAAAAAAACAAACCCCAGAAGATGAGACGTAAAAACAGCTCACATGACGTTGCAATCTCATAGTTTATGTTGTCAGCAAAAAGAGGTTGGATGAATTTCTGCTGACTCAGCAGTAATTGCCATGCGGCAGCAGTCAGTACTGTTGAAATGCTGGAACTGAAGGGAACCAGCTAGCCTCTAGTGACTGGGAACAGATGTCCTCCGAAGAGCATGAGACAGCATTCTGCAATGTGAGAGAAATCTTTGCCTGTCAGTCTAAACTGATGACTAGTTTGGTGGACTGGGACAAGTATCTCTCATGAGATAGGAATTTTACCTTTTTCCTTCTTTTGTGTCACTAGATACCTAGTCTGGTTCTCAGTGGAGGTGTAACAGTCTATTTTTGTAAATGCAGCCTAATGGACTTTAATTTTTAGCAGTTACATATATTCTAAATATCAGCATTAGGACTAACAGAGGTGCCTGCATTTGTGGATATATTCAAGGAGTTTAATGTCAGGAATAGTTCCTCTCCATCTTAGTGTGAATTAATGTTTTGTAATGATCTGGATGTAACTGACTTTGAGTTGAGCAGTTTATATTCCCTGTTGGATTAAGAAGGGTTAAGCTCATGCAGTTCTATACAATTGAGCAGTTTTAACTGGAGCCACTTGTGTGAATCTTGCCTCAGGAGGTTTGAGGTAACTGCCTAATATTTTTGGCCAGTGGACAGAAGTAGGATTTGCATTTTCAGCCTGACAAAGATGGCTGAAGTATTGAGGGTCAAAGCAGCCACAGTCAGCCCTGAGTCCCCAAACACACAATAGCTGCGAGCTATACGCCCATGCTACCCACCTAAAGTGAAAGGGAGGAGTCAGACTGCTCTGTGTGATAGGAAAAGGAGTAAAGACTCTGATATCTGTGTTTAAATGCTGTTCAAAAGATACAAAAAATGTATCATTTTACCTTCTACTCAGGAATAGCTTATCTAAGAACCACTCTTGAAAGGAATTGCTAGAAAGGCCAGTTACAGGCAGAATTTAGTACTGAACTTTGATATGTTCTTCATCTCATGGTGTATATTGATTGCATGCTGTCTTGTTGCTTGCACCAGCTTTTCGTCTCAGTTTTCTTAAGAAGAATCGTGTGAATAAAAAGGTACCATGAATAAAAAAGTACCATGCTTATTAGCCTTCGTGGCAGCTCATGTCTGTTCTCCATAACCTGGCAGGATTACCCCTGTGACTACTCAAATACTCTAAAGCAAAGATCATAGCTGTATATCCTATGAAATAGGAAACCTTCAGTGATTTCTGTGGATCCCATGAAATAGGAAACCTGTAGTGATTTAGGCTGGGTTGACATAATTTTCAGAAGGGCTAAGGAGGTATGAAGTGATGTAAAGTGATTATTTTAAATTTTCATGTGAAAAAAATACCACAGATTAATGGAAATGTAATCTCACTACAAAAAGATGAGGCCAGGAATTTAAAACAGCCAGGAGCTTAAAATCAGGCACTGAAATCATTATCCTTACTTAGGTCATAAGTAAATAAATAGTTAAAGACATTGAGGAGTCACATCAACCCCATGCAACGCTATAGATTGGAGAAGCTGCCCAGAGGAAAAGAATGTTGGGGTGGTGGTTGACAGCAGCTGAACATGGGCCAGCAGTGTGCCCAGATGGCCAAGAACACCAATGGCACCCTGACCTGTATCAGCAACAATGTGGCCAGCAGAACCAGGGCAGTGATTGTCCCCCTGTACTTGGCACTGGTGAGGCCACACCTCGAGTGCTGTGTTCAGTTTTGGGCTTCTCACTACAAGAAGGACATTGAGGTGCTGGAGCATGTCCAGAGAAGGGTGATGGAGCTGGGAAAGGGTCTGGAGCACAAGTTTTGTGAGGAGCAGCTGAGGGAGCTGGGGGTGTTTAGCCTGGGGAAAAGGAGGTTCAGGGGGGAACTTACTACTTTCTGCAACTACCTGAAAGGAGGTTATAGCCAGGTTTGTTTGGTTTCTTCTCTCAGGTAACAAGAGACAGGATGAGAAGAAATGGCCTGAAGTTGTACCAAGGGAGGTTTAGACTGGATATTAGGGAAAATTTCATCATGTAAAGAGTTGTCAAGTATTGGAACAGGCTGTCCAGGGAAGTGGTGGAGTCCATCCCTGGAGGTATTTAAAAGTCATGTAGTGTGGCACTTGGGGACATGGTTTAGTGGTGGTGGTCATGGCAGTGTTGAGTTAAAGGTTGGTCTTGATGATCTTAGGGATCTTTTCCAACCTAAACAATTCTAGGACTCTATGAAGAGATCTTAATGGACCTAATTTTCTCCCATGTACTTTCTGCAGTTCAGTTACTGAGCACTCATGTGAGACATCTTCAGAGATTTTGAATGTAATTGCGCAAAAAGAGACAGCAAGGACAGTTCTGAGAACCTGAGCCTTTCAGTCTTAATTTAGACTCTGTCTTTTGAATATTTGCCCCTGTAGAATGCATAATTTAAAATTATTTCAGTAATGGAAGGTATTTGATTCTCTGTTCTTGAAGAGAGACTCCACTTGTAAAACATCCTTATAAATGACTGACTCTTTTTAAAGCGTATTACTAGTATGGTTATTTTTCAAGTGTGGCATTTGTGTGTCATACAGATTTATTTTTACTTTTCAGAAATGCTAAGAAATAAGCTTCATTCTCACTCTTAAGTTAATAGACAACTCTAATGCCTTAACTTTTGAGTAGCTTTGAAATAAAATTTCAAAGTGAATTTGAAGTGTTTCATAGACTTTGCATTATATAGACTTTGCTTAAAAAACCCAAGGGAAATTGCAAATATAATAATAATAAACAAGATTTGCTCTTGTTGTCTGAATACTGTACAAAGGTGTTTAAAATGACTAGACAAAAAATTATGAAAGCAGCATGTGACTTAAATTATAAATAAAATATGGCAACTACTGGACCAAAATCTGCACACGGGAAAAATTTAGTGACAGTCAAATCTACAGAGTGGACTATTCAAGAACATTTACTAAGCCCTCTGTCCTCATACTTTTACAGTTGCAAGTTGAGTATTTTGAGCAGCTAGACTGTAAAAGGTTTTACAACAATTCACTGTGTGACTATGCAAATGTTTAAGGAATTCTTAGATCTTTTGCTCATCTCCCTGTGCTTGGTGTACCTGGGTTTTGCTTTCATCTATCCTTGTATGGTGCCTTCTACAGTTTTCTAATTATGTAACGTGTGACCAAGAATGGCCCACAGATTCTGAGTGTTTGTAATGATGAACTATAAAAGGATTTTTTTACCTGAGAGAATAAAAGATTCAAATGTGCTTGTCCTGTGTTATATAAATTGTCAGAGGTCCAGCAGTGGAGGGTGCTGTGACAGCTTACCTAAGCAGGGAGTTTGCTCCATTTTTTTTTTGAGGAACAGGGTTTGCAGTGTCATCGCTATTACCCCACTGGAAGACACAGCCAGAGAACACCTCTATAGAGAAGGGAGCAAGCTTGCAAGCTCTGTATATCAGAGCTCTCCTTAGCAGCCCCCAGCAGGGCAGCAGAACCAGGTTCCCAGATACAGAGCTGGAACACTCAGATGATTACAAGAATACAAGGTATGAATTCCAGAAAGTTCAAGCAAATTCCTTCTGCTTGTTCATATCAAGATTTATACAAATAGCATAACACAAGGCTTGGCAAGATAATTTTCCTTCAGTTTTGCCATATGTTTCTTCACAAGCCTGTCCCCCATTAAAAAAAGCAGGATACCTAATACTAGATGTCTGCCTGATGTCTCAAAATTTGCATGCATAGTTCTGTTGGCTGCAGTGCTACTGCAGTAAGGGCAAGGTAGTCACAGCCAATTTGTCTGTATCTGCAGAAGTGAGTTCTCAGAGCTTGGTTTTGCTCTTAAGTCAGTCCCTGAGAATCCCTGACAGTAATTGTAATTCTCCTCAAACCTAGAGCAATATTTAAAGCGGAGGAAGCACAGGAAACTCCTGAACAGTTTCTTTTCCCATCGCCTGTCAGTGATTTCACTGCAATGCCTAGAAAAACCAAAGTAGTTCAGACGGCATCTATTTCTGGCGTGAAATCCTAGTTGTGGATTCCCAGTGCTGATGTGTTTTTCAGACCCTCTGATGAATTTCTAAGCTTTCTTGGAATAACAGCTTCTGGGAGGGGACTGGAATTCCTATGGTGGATTTCAGGTTCGCAGACTTTGATGAAATCTAAACAACAGGGTGGGAAAGCTGTTTTTTGTCAAGAGCAGCTATGAAGGCAGAGAAGCAAATTCTTGTCAGTAAAGAGCTTTTCATCTCCTTGTCCCGTTTTTCTGAGAAACGAAGGGTGGGATGTGGAAACCCAGTATAAATTTTGAGGGGTGGGGGTAGAGGAATGAAGACTCTTTTCTGTTCCGCTCCTCCACAGAGAGGAGAAATCCTAGGTAGGGATCAAGATACAGCTGGGTACTCAGCAGTGTGTTGGTGACCCTCATAAAAGCAGTGCCTTGAGAGACAGAGGGAGAAAGGAAGAGTCACATTGAGGGCTGTGTAGTAATTTAGAACCACTGTTGTTAGGTTCTTTTTCCTTTTCTGGAAAGCCTGGTTTTCACTTACTTCAAACCTAGAAGAGACTGCTTTTACTACTTATTAACTTCCTGTGTAACAGCAAACATGGGTTGCAGCTGTTCATGACAAAAATCTGGAGGAGAAAAACTCCTTATCTGAAACACCTTAGTAGTTGCTGCATCACAGGCATTTCCAATTCTTCACTGGCACATGGGACAATATATAAAATACTTTTTGTGGCTCACAACAGCATGTGAAAAGATTATGCTGATGGCAATTTGTACTGTACAGTCCTTTGTCTCCCCCTTCACCTTTTGCCCGGTTCCTTTGTAAACTTATGCAGATTGGGCAAACAGAAATAGCTTAAACAGAAGATGGTAGTTCTCTATGGGGAATGGCTTAGTAATCTTACAGTCCCTCAGCTCCCCACAACTACTGACTTCTCCAGAGCAGCCCCTTTCCTCCCTGTACAAGGAGGAAGGATCTCCAGTCTTCCTGTAAAAGCAGTAAGTTCAGGAGAAACATGCAAGATTCTAGTCAGAGATGCTTTTATCTTGGCCAGCCAAAAGGAAAACATTAGTACATACCCAGGGTAATTATTTAAAGCAAATGGTTACATTATTTTCTGTCCCTTCACATCACTGAATCAGAGTGCAGTTACATACTGTTGAGTTATTGGTGAAATAGCAACAGAATGATTAAGAAAATCATCAGGCAAAACCACGCAAAATATGTTAGTTATCAACAAAGTAATTGGATAGCATTTAAGTGAGTGAAACAGACACAGGCATGCAAAGGATTATAATAGCTGTAGCAGAGAGTGGAGGTTTCCAAGTGACTACATTCCAAGTGACCCAACTATATTCACTACCAGAAAACAGAGGACTTTGTCATCACTACACTATCTCACACAATGAAAGGGGACTCAAGAGGTATCACTGTTTCCCAAAAATTATAAATGAGAGTGAAAGGAGGAAAGCTTTGGAGAGGAAGAAAACAAACTCAAATTCTTAAGTCTGTTAGATGGCTAACAAATTGTATTTCATGAGAAGGATAGTTTTAAACATGTTGTGGTTTGGTGGTTACAACAACAGTCAGAGTAAAAATGCAATATATAATACTGAAAATAATGTTAAAAATGGGGAGGGAGAAAAAGTATAAACTTTATTTACAAAATGGGAAAACTGATGAAGTGATGAAGTCAAGCTGAAGAGTACAGGAAGAAAGTCAGTCACTGACAGTCTTAAATAGAAAGGCAAATTTTCTGAAACAATTGCACTGCAAAAATTCCTAGTGATGTTGTAAGATCTTTTGTTAGATGGAGATAGTACATTACTGATTTGGGTCCGGGAAGGAAGAAGATGATGGAGATGGGGATACTGAAATATTTTCTAATTCATTAGCAGAAAAGGAGAATTCTTAGTAAACATGGGATAGACAACTTAAAGAGCTGGTCTTCTTACAATGTGTCAGAACATCCCAC